CATAATTGCCTAGTGATTGAAACATTTCTGTCTGGGGCGAATAAACTTTCAGTCCAGGCTGTGCTACCTAGTAAGGTTTAGTTGGCCACCCTCATTTATTTTAATTAAAACCCCACTTGGGCCAATTACTCAGAAATATACCCTCTCTCCCTGAAGCCTGTCTAATCATTGGGGGTACTGTCCCACAGGCTGGGTGAACGTTCCCTCAGCTGTCAGTGACACAGACAGATGTTGATAAAGGCCAATCTAAATAATGGAGAGTGTCTAAAGACTGCTATTTATTTTATGCAAATTAATATAAACCACTGAAATAAGTAGCAAACTTGAAATGAAACAAAACCATGGTTTTATAAATAAATATATGTACGTATGCACATAATCATAGATTGATGTAGGATTTGACCTTGTTATTATTTGTAGCTGAGAATCTCCTCTTTACCTCTGAGATAATGGTCGAAACGACCAGATAACCAGTGAGGATTAGTAGACTCGCTCTGGCTATAAGTCACGGACGCTGAAAACTTGAAATTACTCAGAGAAATTGACAGGGATGAAAACATCCTGGCATCTATTTGCCCAAATCTGTTTTGCTGTGGTTCTCAGATGGCATCCCTCACCCTTTGGAAGAGGAATAATCCAGACTGTCTTTCTCTAAATGGAGCACAGCCATCGCCTCTAATTAGTCTCCTAATTGGCTACTTGTGGGGCTCACTGGATTGATGGCTCATTGGTTCCGTGTCCTGGAGCTTTTCATCCAGAGAAGCCATGGGAACCACTTCGATGGCCTGCCCTGCTTGCTGAGAAAACCCCTCCTGGGTCTGAACCTGTGCAGGGAGCAGGATGCATTAATCCTTTTAGGGAGACTAAAGTAAAAGTCAATGCTGTGAAAATGATCTAAATTCAGCATGATTCCCCCTTGATGCTGATTTTCAGTTAGTTGATTTTCATTGGTATTTTCTAAATGTGTGAAGAATGTTTCCATTTGACAGTCTCACGTAGAGCAAGAGGAAATTGTCTGGAAAAGACAAGGTTAAAAAGGTTGGGGAAAGAGTTTCCCATACAAACATGGAGGCCTGAGTTCTGATACCCAGCACCCATAAGAATCCAGGCGCAGAGATGTGCACCTGTAATCCCCACAGAGGAGACTGAGAGCAGATGGCTCTTAGTCCCCAGGGCTCACTGGCCAGCTAGTCTAGACTGGGCTCACTGGCCAGTTAGTCTAGCCTAATTGCTGAGCCACAAACTCAGTAAGAGAATCTCATCTCAAGAACAAGGAAAAGAGCGATTGAGGAAGATACCCAACATTGACCTCTGGCCACACACACACACACACACACACACACACACACACACACACTCTCTTGCATGTGCACACGCATGCACATGCGCATACATATATGCATGGGCACACCTGTATACATACACACACAGACACACACACACACATACACACACCTGGATACATACACATGAATATGCAAAAGAAAATTTTAAATATATGTCATATGAATGCCACGGTTCTTTTCAAGTTTTTTGACACAGGATCTTCTCACCCTAGCCCAGGCTGGCCTAGACCTCACGCTGTAGTAAGATTGATCTTGAACTCAATGCAAAACCCAGTCTGACCTCAAACTTGGCAACCCTGCTTCAGCCTCCTGTATGCTGAGAGTATAGGCACACAGCACCATGTCCCGTTAACAGTCTGTAACACAATTGACCTGTCTCGACTTCCTGTTTGCAGGAGAATGATTTCACTACAGAGTATCTTAGATACTGCAGACAGTAATCGTGTACTGTACACCTCAAAAGAGCTAGAGGAAAGGATTTTGAATATTTTTTTGCCACTAAGAAGTGAGAAATGTGTATTTTCTCACCCACGTACACAATGTAAACACACATTGAAACATTGAATGGTTCTCCATTGATAGTGCACTCTTGTGGCGGCATACCGGTTAAAACTTAACTTATTTTTAGGTTAAAACTTAACTTATTTTTAAAGAATACACTAATAAACACTGGAAAACATCCAAGCATAGCGCCCTGTGACTAGTGTCGTGTGGGAAGAGGAAGAACAGTAAGAAAGCACACGTGTGACTCTGCTCAGTTGGCTTATGCACCCACGGTCACGGGCCCAGCCAACTGAAGCAGTGAGCAGACAGGGATGTGTCCATCATTGTCGAAATCATCCGCCGTGCCCTCCCACAAGCCGTCTGCACACTTACAGTTAAACTAGGGAGAAATGGCTGGTCCAGCATGATGGAGCTTAAATTTAGCCACGGAAGGGCATACACACGGAGGTTTAAATGCAGACAAGAAGAATTCAGCAGGTACGAAAATAGGATCCACGAGGGTTGCTGTATCAGAAGTGAGCTTGTCTGGGAACTCAGGTGATAGCCCATGGTTGTTACACATCTACTATGCTGGGTGGGGCTGGGCCTGGGGAGAGCAGACAACACAAAAGGATGGGGGGCTCTTAACTAATGAGGGCAAGGGATGGATATGTAAACTTATAATACAAAGCCAAAATGGCTAAGAGTAGAAGGAAGATGGAAGTGAACAGATACTATGAACTGATACCGGAGAGTCCATAGGGGAAATGAAAACAGAGGGAGGAAGGTGGGCGTGTCAGGAGTGGTCGGAGAAGGCTTTGAGAACGGGTGTCAAACAGTTCCTACCCTGAAAACAGCCAGGGCACCAAGAGATGCTGCGACACGGGGAAGTGTTATCCAAGGACACCTTGGAGTGAGCATCTCTGAAATTCAGGAATTCCTCATTTACTACAGAAGGGGCACTCAGTAGGGCAGGCTAAGAAGAGAAAAGGCCACCGAGAGAAGATAGGAGGCTTCGTGGGTGAAGCCGTCTGACAAATAGGAGTGAAAAGGTAAGGGGGCAGGAGAGAAGGAAACAGCCTGGTGGATGTAAAACTGTCAGCAGGCAGTCTCCCCAGGACTGTGGAGCTGGCTTTTAATGCATCTGTTTGGCCACAGATCTGACCGCTTCTACAGTGAGCCAGGAAACAGGCAAAGGACAGCAGTAGGGTTGAGCAGCATTGACTACAGTCTGTGTGTGCATTCTCCTCTGCCCTCCAGAAGTGGGACACACGGTGTCTGTGGTTACAGCTAGGGAAACAGCACCCCAGGACACTAGGTGCTCATCAAGATGCTCATCAAGAAGGAGCCTGGCTGCATCTGAATTCTCAGCAGCACGGTTGATATTTTGGTTGTGTTTTGTCTCCTGCGATGCAAACGCTGTTGACAATTTATGCTTCATATTTTTCATCACTGAGGCTTAATCCTGGGTGTTGCTCGTTGCTGGTGGCATTCATCTCATCGATACAGAATGTTTTAATAAAATTTTCCAAGACAGCCATTATGGCCTGGGCCTGTCATCCCAGGGCTTGGGAGGAGGAAGCAGGATGAATGCTGGGAACCCAAGGCCGGCCTGAGCTATACAGTAAGTCCCTGACTGTGCATAAGCCCCGCCACTGAAAAAAATAAAAACTAAAAAATGAATCCATACCACTCCTAGGTATACAGTTGAAGGACGACTCTGAGGCAACATACCACAGAGACACCTGCATATCCATGCTTATTGCCATACTAGTCATTATAGGTTATAGAGTCAGCCACCATGTCTGCTAAAGATGAATGGATAAAGAAAATTACATCTCTTTCTCTCTCTCTCTCTCTCTCTCTCTCTCTATATATATATATATATATATGAAGTAGATTTGTATCCAATAATAAATTTAAAAAGTTATGTGTATAGCCATCCTAGTTACATTTTTCTGTTGCTATGACAAAGCATAGACTAAAAACAATTTGAAAAAGAATGCCTTTATTTCAGCTTACAGGTTGGATACCATCATCAAGGGCTTCCTGGGCATCCCAGGAGGAACTCAAGTCTGAACCTGAAGGTAAGAACTGAAGCAGAGGTTACGGTGCAATGCTGTTTACTGCTTTGATCCCCTGGCTTGTTCAACCATCTTCCACATACACTCCAGGACCACCTGCCCAGGGGTGGCACCATCACAGTGGGCTTGGCCCTCAGACTCAATCAGCAATGAAGACAATGCCTCACAGGCTTGCCTACAGGCCAGTCTGATGGAGGCGTTTCCTTGTGCGATTCCTTTGCCCATGTGACTCTAGTTTGTTTGTGTCAAGTTGACAGAAAACTAAGCAGCACACTACACATTGACCTGCTTGAACATACGGGTCACCTTGCTCTCTCTCTCTCTCTCTCTCTCTCTCTCTCTCTCTCTCTCTCTCTCTCTCTCTCTCTCTCTCTGTCTGTCTCTCTCCTTGTGTGTGTGTGTCTCTGTCTCTCTGTCTCTCTGTCTGTCTCTCTCTCTCTCTCTCTCTCTCTCTCACACACACACACACACACACACACACACACAGAGCCTCTGGCAGGGCCCCATCTCTCCATCCCTTCTTTTCTCCTCTCTCCGTGTGCAGCACGTGGATGTTGAAGAAACTCATCTGCTGTTTCTACATGATTCTCTGTGGAAACACATTGAAGCGTAGACATCTTGAGAGCAGAGATTCTCCTGGCTTCGTGCGGCTGACTGATCAAGGACTGAGGGTTTGGGTTTTTGATCACATGCTTAGGTTATTGACTGTCAGCAAATTCTTATCAACATTGAATTACAGCCTGCCAACCGTACTTTACATATCTAGAAGGGCGAAATACCATGAGATATTTGTCTTGTTTATCTTAATTTCGGTGGTCATTGCAGTGCCATGAGGACACATGGAGGAGCCTTACAGGACTTGGTACTTCCAATGCTTTCTTCACTTCCAGCCTTATCTGTCTCCCTAGCCTGGCTGATGCCCTTCTCCTTCCCTGGCCATCAAGAGAAGACGTGAAGTCAGCTCGGTCATGCATCTCCAGCAGGAAGGCTGCATCAAGATCACCCTGCTTTGTCCTTCAATAACTTCGTTTACTTGAAGAAGGGAAGCAGCTAAAGTCAACCTTTAGAAAAGTAGAGTTGCACAAAGTCAAAAGGAATGGTCTTTATTTGTAACAAACGCATGCGTGCAGAAGATTTATGTAAGTTGAACTTCTTCCTGAGTCATCCATGACACATAAAATACTCCAACCGATTTGTCCCTGGACATTTACATTGGCTCTTATACAAGAGTCAAAGAGTTCAGCTGAACTCAGCAAATCACCTCCTTCTTTGAGCTCAGCATTAAGAGCTAAACATAGTATGGTTTTGATTTCCCAGCAAGCCTTTATGTGAGAGTATACAACAGAAGTAAACTGTGCCAGCAGAGACATGTGGAGAACACCTTACAGTGCCCTCTCGTGAAAGGCACTGGGTGGTACACCTTACAGAGAGCTATAGAGACTGGATTAGCATTGGGCATGAGTCTGGAAGAGAGTGTACATATCCAAAAGACTATAAAGAATCATAAACATGGAAATTTTCAAAGGAAAGTTCAGTTTCAAAATTGGGAAAATGAGAAAATGTATAATTTAATTGAGGTGATTTTAAGAAAATACAGGCATACTCAGTCATGTTCATCCAGAGGTCTATTCATTCTTCATGTTCATCAATGTATAATAGGATCCAACTATTAGGTGTTCCAAGCTCGACAGGAAGGGGTCTGTTGTTATTGTGATTTGGGAAAGTGTTTCTTACAGACACTTGGAAATGTAGAAACAAAAACGTTGGGATATAGGCAAAAAATACAATTTTCTCCTCCTTTCCACATCTGTGTAGTTCGTGGGGGTTTACAGTAATGCTCTCTTTCTGAACAGAAACTGCCCCTGGCCTTACTGAACATGCAGAAATGGATACAGAGTTCAGCTACTGAAGAATTTTATGCCCCCTTATATTAATAATTCTCTACTGTCACCAAACACGGTAGTAATGATAGTCTCTCGTAAGTGCCACTTTAGACACATTCTTGATGTATGTGCTTCCCGTGGGAAGAGAGGCCTGCTTTCCACAACCGTAAAGAATTATTTACATGTTTTCTGAGCGCTGCACTGCAGAGAATGGAAATCGATGTCATTTCCCATCTGTGTTCACATACTCCTTCAGGCATCTGCCCACGTCGCTGTGTTTCATTTTCTCTGTGAATAGTTCATCAAAGACTCTCTTCTGCTTCGGAGTGAAGTAGTTTATCCAGTCACCCACCACTCCTGGAAACACGTGAAATCTATCAGGCAAGAATCAACCTAAACCACAGCACTCACATGATGGGGGAAGTCCTGTACATTTGGCAGAGGAAATCTGTCAGCTTTGCAATCCCATGGGGGCTGTTGGTCCCTCCTGGTGAGAAGATGATGGGGGACTATTTCTCACTCGCTTGTTTGCTGTTTCTAATGGCCACTGTGGTGGTTGTATATTAATTTCTACAGTTTATAATTACTTATTTAAAGGAAGATTTAAAAGATACAGACATTTTTTTGTTGGACTAACCAAGAACATTACAGTTTAAGCATGCCAAGGGCATAAGTGAGCAATGTGGGCATAGAGGTAGGTTCTGCGTTCACCACCTAGGGAGCTTGCACAGCAGAAGCTGAGTTGAGAATCATCAGAGATGGGTAGCTCACCTTATTTTCAGAAACCTGTGCCTATAAAATGAACAGTGGAGAATTGGACACATAGATACCAGTTTTCAACATAAGAGTTTGGTGATAAGTGTATGTAGTCTGCCAGCCTCTCTTAAATTGAAAAGTTGTGTTTTTCAACCCCTCAAAACTGACTTTCTTGTTCCCATTATGCTCCCCTTGTTAGACTTGGGGCTCAGACTCCATCCCTGGGGTCTGCCTCCATGTGTTAGGGTCAATGGCTCATTATTTTGTCTCTACATTTGTTCTCTGTGATCTTTTGTTTCCAATTCGCTTGTAAACACTTTCAAGCCGGGGACTATAATGTACTGTTTGTGTGTAACCAAGAGCTAGGCGTCTTCCATCATGTGTTAAGAAAACACATGGCTGGCATGATTGGATTGCATGCTGGACCAAGTGTCACCCACAGGAAAGAAATGCATTATATTCAAGAGATGGCTTCTTTTTTTTCACATTCTGTGTATTTTATTGAAATACGCTGCTATTATATGATTGTTTTTTTAGACAGGGTTATATTATGTAGTTCTGTTTTTTCGTTTGTTTGTTTGTTTTTAATGAGACAGGGTTTCTCTGTATTGTTTTGGAGGCTGTCGGTCCAGCCCAGCCTCGAACTCACAGAGATTCACTTGCCTCTGCCTCCCGAGTGCTGGGATTAAAGGCGTGTGCCACCATTGCCCGGCTATATTATGTAGTTCTGGTTGACTTGGAACACACATATTCGGATCAGGCTGGCCTCAAATCTGCCTATAGAGTGCTGGTATTAAAGGTGTGAGTCATCATCCCCTTATGAAAAATTGATACACTGAGATTATATTAAGATGGACATCACGAATCTGAACTCAGAAAACTATGGCATATGGACTTAAAGTTGATCACCATCTATATTTTGGGTTTTGTTATTGCTGCCGCTGTTCTTTTAAAGATTTATTTACTTTGTGTGTATACGTGTTTTTACACCAGTGCAAGTGTCCAGTAGCAGCCGGTCTCCCATGTTTACCTCCAACACAAGGGAAACACACATGGTGGGACTCACACGCTGCTAGCTACAGGCAGTGATGGTGGGGTTTTACCTGGGGCTGTTTGCCAGGAGTGCAGCTATGGCAGCTGAGGGGGGCAGGGGTGGATAGCCGCCGCAGGAGTGTCTCACATGTCTCCGGGGTGGGACTTGAGAACAGCGATTGCTTTGTGCACGGGACTCTCGAGGGCGTGTAATGAAACACATCACTATGAGACCTCAGGGCTCCCTCCTGTCTCACTCTCGTATTTACGCAACCGCTCCCTTCTCCTCCTTGCTCCGTCTGCCTTGCTTACACACACTCCCTCTGAGTCTGTCTGTCCCCTCGTCGTGGTCTCCTCTCCGGAAGCCCCCTAACCTTTTCCGGTCCCGCCTCTCTCCCACTACCACGTGGTCTTCCTGCTCTGCGTTCTCACAGCCCGTGCAGCATGGTCTTTACTTTCTCCGGCTCTCCCTTCCCTTCTTCAGTACTGCGGAACCGCTCAGAGCTCACGAACGATTGGCAGGTTCCCAATCGGCGTTCTGCCTGACTTGGCCCGTGCCTTTTCCTGGCTCCCCGGAGACTGCTCCACTCTCTTGGGTGTTAACACGCCCTGAGAGCCATAGTCTGTCATTGCACCACCAGCTCTTGGCTCTCTCTCTGTCTCTCTCTCTCTGTCTCTCTCTGTCTCTGTCTCTCTGTCTCTCTCTGTCTCTCTCTGTCTCTCTCTGTCTCTGTCTCTCTGTCTCTCTCTGTCTCTCTCTGTCTCTCTCTCTGTCTCTCTCTCTCTCCCCCCCTCATTCCACAACCTGCCGAGGGCTCCCTGACTAAACCCGGCAAGCAGGGCTCCTGTCATTGTCCCAGGGATGACTCACCATATGTCTCACCTAAACAGTTTATCAGTTTCCTGCCTCACTGTCACAGTCTCCTAACTGTTTATTCCCTGCTTCTACCGCGGTATAAACACATTGCCTGCTTGTGCCATGTCCTCTTCAACCAGAAAAGAGGTTGGGGAGAGGACAGCAGAGGACAGGCAGAAGAGGGAAGGAGGAGGAGGGGAGAGGAGAGGAGGGGAGAGAAAGGGAGGAGTGGGGAGGAGGAGTGGGGAGGAGAGGGGAGAGGAGGAGAGGAGAGGTGGGGAGGGGAGGGGAGGGGAGAGGGCAGGGCTTCTCATGAAGTCCACGCTCTGCTCTCGCTCTGCTCTCCGGCACCACCATCCTCTCATCTCCCGCATTCTGCTTCCCACATCTCCCTCTGCAGCACAGCGCCCCCTCTTCTTCTAGGATGGACTATGTGACTCAGCTGGGCTTCCGACCCCTCTCTGCCTCTGGCTCTCCCTGGAAAGCGTTCGTGTCTCCCGTCACTTTCATAACCATTTCTCAGACTTCCAGTCCCAGACCTACTGGTAGACCCCTCCTTAACAGGGAATGTATGCCCCTGCCCACACCCCTTACCCACAGTGGCTGCGGAGCATTCCTTTACACGGTGTGAAGATGCATCACCGTGGCTGGCTTGATAAAGGGCTGAATGGCCATTGGCTAGGCAGGCAGAGGCTAGGCAGGACCTCTGGGGACAGAAAGGACTCAGAGAGGAAGACAGGCAGAGTGGCCAGCCAGATGCAGAGGAAGCAGGATGGGCAGCACAAAGTAAAGGTAACCGAGCCATGTAGAAGTATGTAGATGATTAGAAATTGGCTAATTTAAGTTATAAGAGCTAGTTAGAAACAAGCCTAAACTACGGGCTGAGATTTCATAACTAATAAAAGTCTCCATGTGGTTATTTGGGAGTTTGACTCTCTTACCATTATGCATTTGGAAAAGTGATGCTGTGTTTTTTCAGTATTTGTGTATTAACTCCAGAATTAATATCTTATTAATATTTACTTGAGTTGAATGCTTTGCCCCTTTCTAAGCCTTGGTTTTGTGACTCTGCATAATAAGACGGAACTACAACAATAGAAAATTTGTAAAGTTAAGCGAATAACTGTTTTACACTTGAGTTGGCAAATATTTGCAGTGTGTGTGTGGGGGGGAGGGATTATATTTAGTTGGGCCAAAGAAAGGAAATAAACTTTGGCTTTCTAGCAAGAATCATGCAAGCATATATACACACAAAACATTTTGCCTTTATAAGTTGTAAAACATTTCTCCTATGTATGGATAAGATTTACATACTTCAAAACAGTTCTAGGGTCTGTAGAGATTGCTCAGAGGTTAGGAGCACTGGCTACTCTCACAAAGGACCTGGGTTCAGTTCCTAATACCTACAGCCTACTGTATAACTCCATTCGTAGGGGATCCAATGCCCCCTTCTGGCCTCCTTGGGCACTGAATCCACAGATACAAAAGCAGACAGAACACTCTTACACGTAAATCTTAAAAAAAAAAAAAGATCCTACATCCAGATATTCCTTACTTGCTTCTAACTTGAACCTGGAGAATTATTGGGGGAGATTTAACTCTGTTTCTTGTATTCCTACGCAATTTAAGGTCCATTATGAAGAAATGGAGAGTACAAAGACCAAAGAGAGCTTTAAGCACCACCACAGTCCTCCTTCTATACACAGAGGAGATTGGTTCCAGGACGTTGTGGAATAGTCCTTCTGTGCACTGTGAAGACGGGCTGCTCTCATTGTTAACAAAAAGCTGATTGGCGGATAGCTGGGGGGGGCAGAATGAATGCTGGGAAGAAGGGCGGGGTCAGAGGAGCCACCAGGCCGATACAGAGGAATCAGGAGGTGAGCATGCTATACCAAGAAAAGGTACCGCCACGTGGCACAGGGTAGATAAAAAAAATATGGGTTGATCTAAAAGGTAAGAGTTAGCTAGTAACAAGCCTGAGCTATCAGCCGAGCATTTATAATTAATAAATAGTTTCTGGGCGGTTAATCAGGAGCCAGCTGCAGGGACACAGAGCAATTCTGCCTACACCAGAATTCTCTGTCACCAACATTCTGAGATGCACATTGCTTATATAAAGTATCATTTAACCTCTGCTTACATAAAACCTGCGGTATAACCTACGGAATTCTCCCATTCCCATTAATCATCTCGACATTACTTATTACCATCCCAACGCCACGCACGTAGTGGCTGCTTGCTACTGTTTAGGAAACCATGTTAACAAAAGTCTGCACATACTCAGTATGTGACTTCCAGGTGAGGAAAGAAAACATCTATAGAAACTGCAAGCCAGACGCACTCCCTAGTGGAAGCCCCGGATGCAGCCATGGAAGCCCCGGATGCAGCCATCTCCTCTCCGCTTACCTTTTCTGAATACCAGGTTCCTGTCGGACGTGAGGGCACAGATGGTGTGGTTGGGATCGCAGTTTTCTTTAACTGCATTGCTTTTCATTTCGCTGAACGATGTGTTCCGAGCGATCCTACTCATCTCACTGTCATTCACATGGATGCCAAGGAAAGAAGTCATTTTCTTTATGCTCTTAACGAAATCCTGAGCGATAAGAAAATTAAGGAAAGTAAATGTGCCTCTTACTCTAAATATGGAATTCACTCCTTCAAATTTGAAAGCCAAGTCATCAATTGCTTTTGTTTGTTTGTTTTAGGCGGGGTTTCGATATGTCATCCTGGCTGTCCCAGGAACTCTATGTGTAGACCAGGCTGGCCCGAAACTCACAGAGATCGCCTGCTTCTGCCTCCGAGGGCTGGGATTAAAGCTGTGTGCCACCACACTTCAGTTTTCATGCCCTGACTTTTAGCCCAATTACAGCAGGGGCTGGCGGAGAAGACTTACTTGCTTCATTTCTTCATAGAATAGGAAGAGGACGTTCTTGTCATTTTTGTACTTATCCCAGCTCAGAACATGGTCAAACCAGGAACCATACACAACTGGAAGAGAAGCACATTATGGTGTCACTGCTCACAGTGAAGGCTTCACCCCACATCTGGCTTCTTCCTGCCTCAGCAAAGGGGTCCGCCAGAGCAGTGCTCATTAGCTTGTAGGGAGACCACCCAGAAGAGTTCATGTCACTCGGGGGCGTGTCGTCCTGATATGCTGGCGGCCACATCTTTTCACAATACTCTAAGTATTTTATTTTCTTATTTCTAGTATTTTTTTTTTACCACCATGAAAAGTAGCAGCGACATCAAACCACATGTTTTTCTCAATATTTATATTCTGGACTTTTTAAGCTTCTCTAAGGAAACATTAAGGATCAGTCATTTTCTTCCTTTAAGGTGACATTCATAATTCCAGGTTTTGTCACAAACGTTTTAAAACTTTTTCCTTGAGCCGTGCTTTCACTGTAGCCAGCGGAAGTTCTGAGACTCATAGTAATCCTCCTGCCTCAGACTCTCAAGTGCTGAGATTATAACCGTAAGCTAGGGCACCCAGTTTTTAAACTTCTTTTTTTTAAAGGCTCTTACATTGCCTAAAATCTATTGTCTAAAAAAATTTAAGGTAAATTAAAACATAATGAATTTTAAAAATACTCTATTCAACTTAGTTTAAGAATAAACAGTTCAGCCTTAGGAATTTGTCTGCAGTTGCTATTGTCTCTTTATTTTGTTGTCAAATGAGAGCCTTGAAAATTCTCAAGGCTCAAAAGTAAACTATCGTTGGGTGTAACCTTTTTAGCACTGATGACCAGGGAGGAAGGCTCGCTCTTATCTCAGGCCATCAGCAGTTGGAACCATGATACACAAAGCAGAGTAAGTGTAAAAGCCCCCTTCCAACTGTCATTCTCACCCCACACGCCAACTCCGGCTGGCGCCCTCAGACTCAAAAGTGCTTGGGAGGAAACTCCCACCATCGGCTCACTCTCCGCTCAGCAGACAAGAGTGAAGGAAGCCCTGAGTGCCAGCTAGTGATGCATGTGATGTAGTCAACATTAAAGCCTGGAATTCATTATATACAATATAACTGCAATATGATTAACTCAAAAACTAACTGCAGTTTTTGCTGATTTCAGTTTCTGAGGAAACAAATAATAATCCTGTGTACATATATTTCATTCATCATCATACTAATGAGTTTCATCATCATGACATTTTCATACATGTACAGTATTATTATTTGCTGTTTCACACACACACACACATGCACACACATGCACACACGCACACACACACACGCACACTGAAATCTAGATTCCACACATTAGAGAAAACACATAGTGTTTGTCCTTCTGAGTCTGACTTATTTTATTATGTATTTTTAGACCAGAAAGTTCTGGGACTGCTAGGTTGCTATTATGGAGTTGACCTTACACCCCAGACAGCTGGTTGAGAGTAAACTCCTCAAAGAGTTGCCTTGCTTTTCCTTGTCAGGGTTTCAGGCCTTACCCAATATCTTATCTGAGAATTGCCCAATTGACTACAGCAGCAGCAGAGGGGTTGCTTTTCTAAGAACGGCTGCCCTTTTCCCAGACTCAAATACCTGTAGAAGCAAGACTGCTTTTTCTCTCATACAACCTTAAGGAACAAAGATAATCTTGCACCAGCAGGGTCTCAACCTAAAGCCAGTCTGCACCGGGGACCTCCTACCCACAGCCTAGGCCCCTGTATGATGTCACTGGAACAACTTTGGATGATCCAGAGGCCTTGGAACTGTTAGAGAAGTCTGTGTCCCACCGCCAGGGATCACAGTCGACTCAGAGTCGTGGCCTCTGGTTAAATGTAATCAACCTTGCCCATTAGGGCTGTTTCGGGAAGAAATGAACTGCAACGCATGCTTAAGAATGAATTTTAGAGCTGTGTGAAAGGCAGCTGTTCTATTCATCGCAGATGGATTTATATTCCACCCTTCCCCAAATGGACAGAGGCCAGCTGAAAGAAAGAATGTGGATGCCGCGTGTGCCTTCCTGGGTAGCACATGGAAGTCCGTCACCGCCATATGCAGAGGCATCCTCAAACTGCTTAGAATTCTCAAGTGACAAATTGCATTAGGTTTTAAATCGCAAGCCTCATTTTCCAAGTCGCTGATAGAGCCTCATTGTAAAGAAAATTTAGCTTCTAAGGTCAAGACAATTCCTCCTTTGAGGGAACTGCTTTCTGCACCCGCCTCATGTTTGACAGTCGCCAGGCCCTTTCCCCGAATGCCTGGAATTGGCTTATGCCCGAATTGTCATCTCCTGCCGTCCAAGACTCCTCTACCCCAGAATGCCCATGGGCAGAACAGGCTCATGCTCACCCAATCCATATGTCTGAGTCAGAAAGTGTGCTTGCTAGAAACTTCCAGAATGTCCCCCTCTCTTCCTACAAAACGCACGTTTCTTTGAAACGTTACATCCTTTGACTAGTGCACATTTCCCTCCCGACCTCAGTCTTCAATCAACCTGGCCTCTCAGCGGATGCCGCCGAGGACACTGGCCGTCTGTCACAACCATTTGTGTCACCCCTGTCTTGCCAGCAGCTGTAATGGCTTCACCTGACAGCTCCCACAGTTCTGACCCACCCTTTCTGTCTTTGATTTCTTCTCCTCATTGGCTCACGAAACCGTCTCCTTGGCAATGTTCCCCTGCTACCCTAATGCTTATTTCAATAAACTGAAGAAGAAGAAGAAGAAAAAGCCGCATAGCATTGAAGCAAAACACTTCATCTTCTTCCCTGTCTCTGGTTACTGCGAGAGGACTTCACACAACTCTGCGCTTCCAACCTGGGACGCCAAGGCTCCCCACCCACCTGCATGCGGTACCTTACTGCTCCGTTCTCCGCACCAGTCATCTCTGCCTTCTGCCCAACACCAGTTATAATATATGTCTTAGGCTCTAGTTTCTAGACATCACTCTGAAAATATAACCATTGTGCTATAAAGCAATACTTTCTGCAATGGAGGACCTTGGAAACACACAACCCTAAGACAAGGCTTGAGAGGGAGCTAGAGGTGGGAAAATGTGCTCATCATTAAGGTACTAGTTTCATTGAGCTACTAGTATGGCCTGATATCGCCAGAGTATAATATAGTTAATGTTCAACTTGACGAGCTACTACCCGGAAGGTAAATTAGATGATTCCGTAAATGTCTATCCACATCGCTCTACTCTATTGTCTTTTTCTGTAACTAGGAGCTGAGTCCACACATGAAGACCAGCCCAGGACATCATAGCACCTTCCTTATGAAATAACATCCTTGGATATGCATCTGCCTCGTGTGAAGCTACTCGACAGTCTCCTGTGTCTAGCAGAACAGCTGGGTGGACTTCTACGGTGGATTGCAGTCGTTACCTAAGTTGAAACTCTGAACAGTCCTGTAAGGCGAGCCATTTTGTTAGTCTTGTTTGGCAGGTGAAGGATGGATCTCTAGGTACTTTTGGAACTTGTCGAAAGCCACACAGAATGAAGGGCAGACAAGAGCTGATGTCCTGTCTTCACTTCAGCCATCTTCTATTTTGTGGACAGCAAAGCAAGTGACATTCTTCAGAGTCCTTCAAACACCCCTTAAAGGTCACAGGTGTGACATGCCGCTGCACACCTGCATCTGCATTGCGGCACAAGCAGTTGACGTTTTCTTCCCCTGAGTTGGTGTCACATAGCCTACATGATCCTTGAACTTGTGTACGGCCCGGGATCATCTTAAACTCCTAATCCCCCTGCATCAACCTCTCAAGTGCTGGGATTGCATGTCCATCCTCTTGTCTTACAAATAAGAACAGTAAAGTCATTGCTCACATCCAAATACATCTTTTTAAAGTTTTGGTGTACAGGGTTTGCACCAGGACTAAGCACCCAGAGGTGGGGTATTCATAGGTAAGATCCCATTACAACCAAAGATCTATTCATTCACCCCAGAAGGTGTAAGAGAAATGGCTGGAATGCTTTGCCAACCATCCTCTGCCCTCCTCCAGATACTCTGCTATGATGGCCCTGCTGCGTTCACTGGGCACACATTTCCCCAGCAGCAGCTGGCCTCGCTTCACTCTGGCCTGGCCCTTAGTATGACTGTGTCCAAAGAAAACCGAGGAGTAGAAGAGGAGCCGGGTTATATCGGGGCTGCCCTGCCTTCCCATCCCTCACCTGGGTGTGCTCCCCTTCCGGGTGCAGGCTCATAATAAGGACTTGAGCAGGTTGGGACACGGGATGCAGGGAGGAGAGGGAGCAGTGACGTACAATGTGAGAACAAAAAAAAAAAAATAGCATTTCCTGTCTTGAGAAAAAGCAGACTCGGGGTCTGTCCTGGAAAAAGAATTGCGTGTTTAGACACTGCTTGTTCCAAAGATGGACTCGAGGCAGAGAGAGGCATGCTAACCATCCTTAAATATTTAGAGGACAATCACAATCAGGGTAAGAAGAAAGATTTTGGAATGAACGTTAAATCGTGCTCTTACTTGTTACGTCTCTGTGAGTTCTTTAGCCTCACAAAATGATGCAAAATGATGATAATAGCATCTACCACAAGACTAGTACAAGCAGAGTCTAAACACGAAATTCTTTCTCCAGGACAGACCCCAAGTCTGCTTTTTCTCAAGACAGAAAATGCTATTTTTTTTTGTTCCCATGTTGTACATCACAGCTCCCTCTCCTCCCTGCGTCCTGTGTCCCAACCTGCTCAAGTCCTTATTATAAGCCTGCACCCGGAAGGAAGGCGGGGCAGCACCAATATAACCCTGCTCCTCTTCTGTTGAGGGTGAAATGAGATAATAGATAATATTTACCTAGCACTCGGCTAGGCATCTCCGTCACGTGGGTGGCACGCGGTGAATGGTCAGGGTGAAAGGGGGTTTATGAGCCTGGGGCCAGCGTTAGGATGTCCAAGCCTTCGCCATTCTTGGGAGGTTGTGGGTGACACAAACATGCACCGCCTGTTTGAATCGTGTAAAGTACCTGTCGGCCCAGAGGCATTTGCTAAGGAGGAAACTATGTCTGAAGGGCGAGCTGGGATGGCGGCGTGAGACTAACATAGCCCCCTGTGCCTCCAGCAGGAGTCACGGCAGATCTCTGGGTCGGGCTACAGGGGCTGTGGCCTCGCTGAGACTAACTGGTAAAAGATGAATGATCTGCCAGCAAAGCTGTGAAATCAGAGACCTACGGTGTCCACTTGGTGCTGGCAGCTTTGCACAGGGTGGGGCCCACTGGGTTAAAACAAGAGTGGGTAAGATTGGGAGGGGAAGGCGGTGTGTGTGTGTGTGTGTCGGTAAGGGGAAGTGAAAGCGAGAAGTAAGGGCCTGGATTTGACCTAACCACATTATTTACGGGTACAAAAATCTCAAACGCTACACTGTTTAAAACTGAAGAAAGTGATATATGTAAATAAATCCCTTAACCTAGGTTAAGTAACTCAGGATGGGGTGAGGGTGGGGAATTAGCAGAAAGTCAGATACTCCAGATTTTTAGACTGCCAATTCCCTGCCATTTATTCTTTAAGTAAAAGTTATTCAATAAACGTGTAGCTAGAACAGGCTTGCAGGGGACCTCCCCATAAAGAGATTGAGTCCTCCAAGCCTTCGTCATTTTAAACTCATGTCTCCTAATATCTTGACGCGCTGTAATTAATATTTAAGAATTAAGACTTTTTAAGGTGCCCCCCACACGACTGAGCCGGGGGAAAGGAATGAACTAGATGGTGGTTCAGGGTGGCAGAGCCAATGTGCCCTGGGAGGCTTTGTCGGTTCATGAAGTCAGTTTGCTCAGGATTTGTATATTGGTTTCCTTGGGAGCATCTGTGTGTGCATGTATGTTTCCTTTCTTTGTTCGTGATCCCTTTCAGGCTGCCTAACTCCCCTCCACTCAGTGCATAATTACCTCACAGGAAAAAAAAACAGTGACACATGAAAAAAAGTACGTTCTTATAAAGAATTAATCTCTATTTTGAAGATACTATAACTCACATGCAAACAAGCTCCTCCCCGGAGTTATAAAAATGACCGTGAAGTAATTAAGACTTTGCTTAGAAGAAACAAGGCTCCTCTCTTCGGTGTATATGAAGGCAGTAACCATCCACCAAAGGTTTGGAGCTCACTTTCATTTCTCATGAGAAAGATCAATGTATATAATAATTTTTAGAAGATGATTGTCAGGGTTGGCAGGTGGTTCAGTGGATGTAAACACTTGCAGCACAAACACCAGGATCTGAGTTCAAATCCCAGCATCCAGGTTACAAGAGGGCTGAGGGAGTACAAGTGCAAGTCTGTAACCTCAGCACAGCTGGGGTGGAGGCTGGGGGATGTCTGTAACCTCAGCTCAGCTGGGGTGGAGGCTGGGGGATGTCTGTAACCTCAGCTCAGCTGGGGTGGAGGCTGGGGGATGTCTGTAACCTCAGCTCAGCTGGGGTGGAGGCTGGGGGATGTCTGTAACCTAAGCTCAGCTGGGGTGGAGGCTGGGGGATGTCTGTAACCTCAGCACAACTGGGGTGGAGGCTGGGGGATGTCTGTAGTCCCCATCAGACAGCCCAGCTCCAAGTTCAGGGAGAGACCCTGCCTCAAGGAGACGAGGTGGGGATCGAGACAGCAGGACACTATCATTCTCCTCAGAAGTTTGCACACCATTGTGCATGCACACACATTCACACAGATTCTCGAATTCTCCTAGGCACATGCACACACACGCGAACACACACACACATACATGCATGAGCACACACAAGTAAATAAAACAATTTAAAATTTTGGTAAAATGGTGAGTGTCATAGCTACCGTCTCCTTTGAGGAACAGCTCTAAAAACGCAGCCCACGTGTCAGGGGATGGGAGGTTGGGGTTATCTCTGTAGTAGTGGAACAGGGACACGGCTGTATCCTTCGGGTCTCGGACGATGTACACAATCTGTTGAAACATGCAAACAATGTGTTCTCAGGTGAAAATAACCACAACACAAAGTATTTCTCAAAAGAAGGTGGTAGCTAAAGCTCACCTATACAAATTCTACCTTCTTGTTTTTTAATAGCTGTAAGCTGATGACAAAACAGTGTTAGGTTTCCCTCTCTGGGTCTAGTGTGCATGAGGAATGCGACAAGCAGACTTTGATTCCGGAGGTCGCAGAGGTGGCTGGGCTTTCTAGGTTTCTAACCAGTACCCCCAGTAGGCATGCTGCTCACGGTCCAGGGGACAGCTTTCTGAATCAGTTTGCTAAGTGTTGTCCTGTCTGTCAGGGCCAGGCATGGGAAACCCCTATTTACTGTCAGGCAAAATTACTTTTTGCTTATCTATACGTTAGAAAACATTTACATGCAGCAAAATTTTTCACGAACTCTATTTTTTATAGGGAAAACTATCATTTTTGACAATTTACTTCCTTGCACAGCAGAACATCTGGGATTCGCTTCCAGTGTCTAGGAAAACTCAACTACAATTCACTGCAGAAACAAGCATTCAGTGTGTGCTGTGTACCAGGTGACATGCAGTGATCCGGTTCCAAGGGATGCGACAGTGAGCAACCCGGAGATGATTCAAGCCCTCTCTCGGTGTATAGTCGACTGAGGTAAATGTGCTCTTGACAACGGAGCACGGTAGGAGTTCTAAGACAGGACTGCAAAGGAACAGGCGAGAAATCCCCAGAAGGCAGTGGATACTGAGTCATGGAGCACTTCTGATTGCAGTCAACGTCGTACAAGTTAAGAACGAGATGTCCTGTGTTTTTAATTGACAACTGACAGACACAATTTACCCAGATAAGACAGGGTTTGCTGAGTCACTTTTGATCCACTGCTATCTTTTAGTAGCATGTTCATAGTCCAGATGTTGTGTGGTCCACATGAGTAGTGCCTGGCTCCTCATTAATGGAGGGGCATGCAAAGGTCAGTGTGTTCAGGAATGAAGAACCACCTTTACCCAGCCACACCCACAATCCTCTCTAGCTTATGTAACTCGGAGCAACCTCACAGGCCCTGGGCTCCCTCTCCCTGTGCCAGGTCTCCAGAAACCCAAGGCTTGGTGAGCTCACTTCTAAAACTCCACTACATAGACAAAATGGGATAGCAGCAAAGGGTTAAGCCACCACTGACCAGTAGGATGATGGTGGTTGTGGTACTCTGGGAGAGGCAGGCAAGGGGACATTAACTAACCGATCTTGAGGAGCTAGAGAGAGGGCTTCGGGCTTGTTCTTCCAGACGGCCCGAGTTCAGCTCCCAGAACCCATATCGGGCAGCTCACAACTACCTGTCATCCCAGATCCTGAGGGATCCAATGTCATAGGTGCCCATGGACCCCTGTACTCACACGAGCGTGCACACGCACACACACACACATACACACACACAAATGATAAAAGTAAAATCATTATTAAGCAACGTAAAATGAGTTACACAATATACATGCCATGCCAGGGGTTTTCCTAGCACAAGGGGAAGGAGAAAAAGCAGATCAAGAAGAAAGGAATACAGCTATGTGAACCTCCATGACGCCCCCTCTGCCCCCTGCCACACACACCAGCTTCACACGCGGTGCACAGGCATGCATGCAAGCGAAACACCCATGCACATCAACGAAAATAAGAACAACAGAAACTAAGTGAAAGTGGAGTGTCTTAGGGGACATTTGGGGGGAGGAGCCAGCCCTGCTTGGGCAGGGGAAGCTAGGCTGACTCTCAGGCCTTCAGGACTAACCTACAAGCCCATTCATGGAGTATTCAGTTATATGCAGCATTACCTCTGAGCTGATAGGAACGAGACGTTCAGCTTGCGCGTCAATGGGCAGCCAGGGGACAGGCAGCTGACTCCAATAAGACAGTATTTGCTGAGTCACTTAATAGCCTCCTATCTTCTGGAGACCAGAAGGGAGGGTAGAGGCTTGGTTCCCATTAGGGCCTTTCAGAAAGGGTTGTGCCTTGAGGCTGAACCGTCATTGTGGAGGTTAAGAAGCACCTGTCTGAATTTCGGGCTCTTAAGTGGCCTGTGACCCACGTGTGTCGTGTGTGTGACAGACGCAAAACCTTCTGGCTGGTGGCGACTGCTTTAAGGATGACATTAGTAACTGGATGTAATTCTCCCTCTTTCCCTCCCCCCTCCTCCTGAGTGCACGCGCGCTCGTGTGTGTGTGTGTGTGTGTGTGTGTGTGTGTGTCACCCCTCCCTCCCCTCATGCTCCCCCTCCCTCCCCTCTGTCTCCAGCGCTCCTCACAGGTCTCCTCCCTCTCTGGGTCTTGCATTTAATCCAGGCATGGAAGATGAGAGTGTCTAACTGGCCTTTCTCTGCTTGCTTCCCTCCTCCTCTCTCTGTCTCAGGAAAATGGCTCACTGAGCTCTGAAAATGCAATTGGGTTTAGCCTCCCTGTTCTGACAGACAGACAGGCAGGGCTCTGGCACCCTGACCCTGACAGGCTGTTCACCTTTGTCTATGCAGGAATGGGAGCCTGGAGAGCTGTGGCCACAACTGACAGTCGTGGGAGACTCTTCCCTGTGCCATGGGCAGCCTTGCTTTTGTTTGTGTGGTTGGAGGAGGCTTCGTGTCTTGTCTCCGATTTCCAAACTTTGATATCCTTGCATTTTATTTCATATCAAACCGTTCCTTGCACACGTTTGTTAAAAGATCAAATGGAACGCTAATGCCATACACTCGAAATTCACTTTGTTGGTTGAGCTGTTCCCACTTAGTGTTTTTATTTTCTCCTGTGTAGATATGTTTTAACCAAACTGAAAATATGTGTTATGTGTGACCTACAAGCATGGCGTCCTCATCCCTTTATTGCACAAAAAATCACCCCCCCATGAAAATGTAAATGGGAAAAATAAAATGTTCTTTTAAATTATAGCTGGCTTTCAAAATAATAACCTATGAATTAATAATAATAATGTCTTGCGCAAATAGTCCTTTAGCATTTATTGTTATAATAATTTTTCCTAGAAAAAATAACATAATTAAATATAAGTGGGAATTGCTTTGCTGCCATCAAGCCCCATGACAGGGTGAGAGTTCAAGAACCTGAAGGCTGGTGGGGTTGGTCAGTGATTAGAGCCCTGGCTACTCTTACAGAGAATCTGAGGTCAGTTCCTAGCACCTGATTGGTGGCTCACAACTGTCTGTAACTCCAGTTCTAAGAGATCGATGGTTTCTTTGGGACTCCAAAGCCACTGCATGCATGTACACGCACACATGAAGGCACTCACACATACACATAAAATAAAAAGAAAATGAATCCTCAGGGGGGGAAAGAATCCATCATTCCCAAGGCTGCACGCTGAGAGCAGGACTTACCTTACATTTCTTCTGTTTAACCGTCACAGGGGTCATCTCATAGCTCAGATGCGTTGGGATAACCCTTCTCTTAGGGACCGTTTTTAGCTCTTCTAATTTAGAAATGTCTCCCCATTCAATAGGGTATGTGAGAGTGACTCCAGCATCGGGAATGTTCTCAATGACTTCCGCCACCCAGTGGGTTCCTTCACAGAAACAGAAGATGAAATGCAGCTTTAATTAAATGGCGCAGCTGAGGAAGCGCGTGTAGACCATGAGCATGTTGCCAGAGCAAGGCGAGCGTGACTATAGTCAGCCGTGGGTCGCCGTGTGATGCCCCTGCAGCCCGGTGAAACGCTAACTTGTTTTGAGTAGAATCCGGTTACAGGCGTGAAAGGGGTGCTTGCTGATTCCTTGGTATAAAATACTTTGTTGTTACTCATTTCTAGAACCTTCAAATCACCAACTCACACACATTTTTTAATGTAATTCCCATAGTCCCATGAAGCCAAGAGCCTTCTTCTTCTATAGACGATCTTCTACCTTCCCAACAACCCCCCCCACACACAGATACACATAGTCAGTCTCCCTTTTCTGTCTCCCCATGGTATCCAGCCCCTTCCTCTGTTACATTCGTGGGGGTATGTTCACCTCCCCATTCACCCCTTCAAGATAGGCACAGATCTCTCCTTGTGCACACAGCAGTATTTATGCAAACCAAGTATTAAATCATAAATGTTACACTCAGAGAGCTAAAAGGCTGCTACCCTAGAATCTGGAAAGACACATGAGCTCGGTTTTGGTTTTGTTTTGTTTTTTTTTTAAGTGATGGTATTGTTTTAAACTGTATTTGTTATTATTGCAGTTGCAGATGATGTGGGGGTTCCAGTGTCTTAGAACACACGAAGACAACTTCGCAGAATTGGTTCTGTCTTCCTCCTTTATCGGAGTTCCCTGGATCAAATTCGGATTGCCAGGTTTGCACAACAAGGGTTTTGGCCACGGAGCAATCTCATTGGTCCAATGTTTTTGTGTTTGTTTATGATGCGGGGCTGGGGGGGTGTTGAACTCAGCACTTCATTCATGCTACACAAGTGCTGTTCCACTGGACTTCCCACACCCACGTGCCCAACCAAGAGTGCTTACCCCGTAAGCAGCTCAACACACACACACACACACACACACACACACACACACACACACACACACACACACACACAATGTTACACTTCGGTGAAGCAAATGATACTATGTTTCAATTTTGCAGCAGAAAAATGAAAGCTTGAAGGAGGGAGTGGGGGGCATTTTGCTAATGTGAAGACTACATCCCTAAGGAGACTAAACTGGGCGTATGCTAGTGTCCTCTGTTTCATTGTGATTTCAGTGAGGTGCAATAGCCACAACTTTACGGCTGAGTAAATATTCAGGGTCTAAATAGCACTCAGGTTTGCTTTATAGGTTTTATGTAAAGTGTACCTTACTAAGTTTCTTTTTTGTCTTGTGTTTTGTTCGTTTCTTTTGTTTTTTGTTTTTAGATTTATTTATTTATTTTACAAGTGTGAGTGCTTTACCTGCAGGTATTTATGTGTATCCTGTGAGTACCTGGTGTTTGCAGAGGTCAGAAGAGACCATCAGAATCCCCGACCTGGAATTAAGAGGTGCGTGCGTGCGTGTGTGTGTGTGTGTGCGTGTGTGTGTGTGCGTGTGTGTGTGTGTGTGTGTGTGTGTGTGTACTTTGCCACTTCCCACCGTGATGACCTCTCAGTTTAATTAGTGACTATAGCACACAGCTCAAAGGCTGATAGCTGTTGCGCTGCTTACGGGGTAGCCATCATCTCCGTGTGACCACTGTTCTGGAAATAGTAGTTGGCTACTGGACATCACATAGCAAAATTTTTCTGAAGTAAAACTTTTAGCGGGGAAAGTATGGCTCTTCTATGGCAGATGAAAAAGTTATAGACCACTAAGCACGGACTGAACACAGGCTGTTTGGTCATCACAATGATTGGCCAAAGATGCGATGGGAATCTGTATAAACTATTTTCTTTATTACATAAGATATATCAACACTTACATATCTTCACAAATTGGATAAAAGTGAATCTCTGCAGAGCTTCAGTTATTTTATCTCAATCTTTTTAAAGTAAGAAAAATTTAAGTTCTTAAAGACTATGTCCCCCCTGCCCCCCATGGAATAAAATTTCCGATAAATAAAGATACTATAGAAACGATTCTTCTATTTGTTTTGTTGCCATTCTGCATCCCACAGTAAGTACACTTTAGAAAAAAACTCACCAGATTTTGGGTAGGAAACCAGAAATATGTCGTCTTCTCTTGCATCAAAAGAATCCAAGGAATCGAGGAGTTCTTCCGAAGACACGGCAGGGAAGAGGACACCCTTGTACCTGTGGAGGAGGCTTGACTGACTCTGGGATGACATCTTCTCCGAATCTATTAGAAACTGTGGATTCAAGCCACGGACAATCCTGGCCCTTGGTCACAACCCCAGCGGAGTGGCAGAGCAATCTTGGTATCTCTAAGCTGACATTCCATGCGTCTATATATGCCTTTTGCAACTCTTCACAAGAATAATTTTTAAACCATAAGTAAACCAATGCCTATTATAAAAATAGTGTTATCTGAATTTTTCTGATAACACAGGTTACAAAACGTCTCCTTCCACCTAGTTCAGGTTCATTTTCATAAAACACTATCACCATGTTAAGATAGTATCACTAGTTAAATCCTTTGGACTAAATAGGTCACTGTAATGAATTATATCACTGAAGGAACACTTAGGAAAATTAGATTTCTACTTATTAACATGGTATAGGAAGTAGCCAGTATTGACATTTTGTGGAAGAAGGGGACAGAGACATGGGAAATCAGAATGTTTCCAGGAATTGGCAGATACTCTTGGGATACTCTTTATGAGCTACAGTTTAGAAGAGATATAACGTCAGAGTGCCCACAGTAAGAAGAGATCCCTTGAGGACATTTGCAAACAGGAGGCCATAGAGAGAAGGAAGTTAATTCTTGTTGCAGTCACTTTTAGTCTTTGTCAATAATATTCCAGTATCCCAGATTCAATTAGATATAGTAATGAAGTGCCCAATTATCTCAGTGAACCACAGTTGAGAAATTTGGCTTATCTAACAATCGAAGGAACGATGCGTATTAATGAAGAAATGAACAAACTTTTAATTGAGCATCAAAAACAGGGATATGCTGTAGGGGAAATATTTGAACAAGAGAAGCCTATGGCAGTAACAGAAATGAAAGATCATGCGTGCAGGCAATAACAAATAATTTACTAATAGGGTAAACAGGCGGACTGAGAGTAGCCGCTGGGTAGTGAGGTCAGCACACGGAATGAACAGGACACCTAAGAGAGCACAGAGCCCGGCGGTGGGGCTGTATAGCTCAGTTGGTGCCGCTGTCCAGCGTGAGTGAAGCCCTGGAATGGATACTCAGCAACAAGTAAACCGTGCATGGAGGTGCAGGCCTGTAGTCCCAACACCCAGCAGGTGTAGGCTGGAGGACTGGAAATTCAAGATCCTTTTTAAAAATAAAATTATTATTAGGGTTAATTTTTTAATAGTTAATTTTGCCTCCCCCCACTGGCTCTCTTTTAAAATATTCAACTTAACAAAAATATGATTACATCATTCCTCCTCCCTCCTCCTACTCATCTCAAGTCTCCTGTCCCTAATTCACACCCTCCTCTTCTTTGTTGTTATATTCACATTTAAAGAAATAGCTCCATAAAAGCAACCTGTTGAGACCACTCCGCGCTGCCTGCCTGTGTATGTTTCCAGGGATAACCACTTGGTATTAGATAATCAATGGGATTCACCTCTGAGAAATACTGATTCCCCCTCTCCCGGCAGTTGCTGATTACGCAGAGCTCTTTATCTAGGAGTAGGACCCATGAGATTCCTACCATCTACACTGGGATATTGTCTGATGTTGGAATTGTTCTGGTCTTGTTGGGATTCCACGGGTGTAGTTTCCCTGTCATGGCTGGAAGGAGCAATTTCACAGCAGACTTCTAGTCTACTGGACCTGACAACCTTCTGCCTTCTGTTTCTTGATGCTCTCTGAGCCTTGGGTATAGGAGACGTGTTGTAGATGTGCTCTCAGGTTCTGGGTACCCCGCGGCCATGTCTTCTCTGTATTTTGACCAGCTGTAGTTTTCTGTGATGGTCTTTATCTGCTGTGGGCAGAAGCTCTTTGATGAGGGGTGAAAGCTCCACTCATCTGTGGATGTAAGTACTTAGAATGCTAGTCCAGTAAGTAGCAGGTGGAGGTTCCCCTTTAAGAACCATGATCTCACCAGCCCCAGTAATTAGCTAAATTTCCAATACCAGGCAGATTTCCCTCCTGTTGAATGGGCTTTAAGTCCAACTAGACATCTGTTGGTTATCGGCAAGAGATAAGTGCGACTGTGGCAATTCCAGGGATATCTTGACTTGCTCGTCATTGTTAGGGTTCCCACTCCTTACAGCTGGGTAGGACTATTGATCGCACTCCTCCCTTGGCAGTACTGTGAAAGCTAGTCCTTAAGGGAGGAAGCTTTCCCAACAATTCCAACTAAAACCCTCTGAGTCCTAAGTCCAAAGTTCAGGGAGTCTTCAGCAATAGGGTCTTACCTTCAACTTCAGGGAGACAAGCAAGGGCAGTATCACTAGCTTTGGGGGAGTATCTTGGACAACCCTCATCAACAACTCTAAAGGAGGTTACTCATGCCTGCTACTGGGGTTTTTAACTAGATAATATATGGCTCTTTGGGGGAAATATTGTCGCTTCAAGTGATGTAACTTCATTTAAGATATATAATGTGTTTATCTATAATTGGTATTGCATGTAATTTTAGGATTCTCCATTTCTTTTTCAAGCCCCATTAGTGTAATTCATCCCTCCTCCCTCGTTCTCTGTATTGTCCTCCCTTCCATCTCCCCAATTAAAGACCTTCCTTGGTTTTCTCATTTCGCTTTTCCTGTCACCTGTATCCTGCTATTCCACTCTCTGAAGCTACCCCCTCTGCCCCAAATCCTGGTCCTTTATTCCTGGTTACTATAGTTACTCCAGATTATTTACTTACATCTGAAGATTTGGAGTTAGAAACTACAGATGGGAGAGAAAATTTCGTGTTTGTCTTTCTGGGCCTGGGTTACCTGGGTTACCTTACTCAGTATACAATCTTTCTAGCCATTCTTGGCTACAAAGCAAGTTCAAAGTCTGTAGTGATATATTATTTATGATTTATTAAAGCTTGACTGAAGATTTAGAAAAGCAAAGTCACCCTCAAGCTATAGAGATCGGGCAGTGGCGTTACATACCTTTAATCCCAGCAGCCAGAAGCTAGGAGGTGGTGATACACACCTTTAATCCCAGTACTCAGGATTAAGAGGTAGACAGATCTCCGTGAGTCCAAAGTCACTCAGATCTACACAAGAGTGAGTCAGTCTAAAAGAGAATTTTAGTTCACACCTTTAATCCCAACATTAGGGAAGCGTATAAGACAGAAGCAAGGTCTCAGAGAGGCATTCATTCTCCACCACACTGAGGAGAGGCAGCAGTTTGAAACTTGCTGAAGGACTCGTGTGTGGATCAGCCCTGTCAGCCTGAGCGGGAGGTGAGAGCTGGTGACCACTGCTTTGCTTCTCTGATCTTCAGCTTGAACCCCGATATCAGTCTCCTGAGTCTTTTATTAATCAGTGTTACAAAACCCAGCCTGGCTAACATGAGATCCTGTATCAAAAGAAAAAAAAAGGAATTTGAGAAAGGATTTGGAAACCAATACTATTTATTATGATATGAAAAAATCATGTTGAAGTATTAGTTTAACAATGTATTCAAAGCAAAGTACAAGGAAAATAGTCACGCGTCACAGAGATCATCAGTGACTACTTAGATAGAAATAATAGAAATAATTCATATCACAGAGCAGATGGCTCAGGGTTATCATAATGTCTGAATTCTCCTTATGATTTATACAGTTAACACAGTTGTATCCAAATCCAAATATCCAGTCACACGTGTCTATGTGCTCATGAGTGAATGTCAGTTGGCAAAAATTATGTAGACACTAAAAGATCCTAGAATATCCAAAGAAATCTTAAAGGGGAAACACTCTTAGGACTTAAGAGATCCTGAAGAGTGCTATAAAGCAGTAGTCGTTAAGGGTGATTTAGGCTGAACCCAACGCTACACAGATGGGCCAATGGAATAGAAGACAGAGTACAGAAAATGATACACACATACATGGTCATTTGATTCAAAACAAAGGAGAATTTGAGTAAGCAGAGGAAGTTTTTTTCAATGAATGGTACTCATTCTTGGGAGTGACATGAGTCCCACCTTATACTTTATATAGATAGTCAAATTTTGGAATAGAAATCTTCTAGAGGAAAACAGGATATCTTCAGAATCTTGAGTATTGCAAAGATTTCTTCAAAAAGATAGATAAAAGTACTAACTGTTAAAACATTATAATTGAACTCCATTACATTAGGAAGTTGCGTTGGTCAAAGTCATCATAAAGAGAATAAAAAGCAATATGCAGACTGCCAGAAAATATTGAAATTCGTATATTAAACTCTGTGCTCATTAGGAGACTTAAAAAACATACTAAGATCAATATTTTAAAAAGTCAAACAACTCAACAACAAAAATGAGATCTGAATATGTCTTTGGAAAGTGTTCAGCATTAGTACTCATAAAGTAGTAGGAAAGTAAGTCTAACAGTATAAATGAGGGCTCTCTCTAAAGCTGAGGCCTGGTGGACCTACTCACTGGGAAGCAATAATTGATAGTGACCAGTCTTTTAAAACTAAAATGAATAAACAAACATTTAGAATCTCTAGAAATTTTCCTAATGGTAGACACTATTTATTCTGTTTATTCAAAGAAAATCTAGAAAGGGGAAGGACAGTAAGCCAGAGTTTACTGCTTCCCTCAGACTCCCTGCCCCCTCAACAAGAACCTGACTCCAAAATTCAAGGACCTCTGGGGAGACAATGCTCTCCAATTTCTCAATTCCTCTAAACAGTGAGGTGCCCTCTTCCCAAGTATGCTGACTATGACAGGGACTTGGGAACATTCCAAGTCCAGCAGATAGTACATGAACTCTCTCACTGGGCTCTCTCTAAGAATAAAACAGGGCCAGGAGAACATTAAGTTAATTAATCAAACTGAGCCTGTGTTGTGAGCACTATATTCTCAAGGGAGAGGAATCAGTCTTCAGCCGGAGGTCACAAGACTTGATACCTGAAGAGAATGGTCCGGAGTATAGTCAAATGAAGGACATCAAGGGTAAGACAGATGGGCAAGTCTTCCATAATCACCAAAGAAAAACTGCCTTCCCTCATGTTGGTCAGCTTCCTGCTGCTATGACAAATGCTTGAGATAAGAGTTTATTTGGTTCAGGGTTTCACAGGTTTACAACATGGCCATGGGGCCCTGTTGCTTTAGTCCTGTGGAGGCATAAGGGTCATGAGAAGAATATGCGGTAGGTCTCTTTGCCTCATGGTAGCCGTGGAGCAACAA